GGGAAAGAGAGAAAGAGACCACACACACATCGAAATTTATGGCTATGCTGGAGAATTCATAAACTAAAGGTTTACTAAAAAAAACCTGGCTCAGCCACAGGGGCGCAGCTAGCAGGACACTGTTATTCAGTAGTAGAGAAACATGAGAGGCTCAGGTTCAACTCGAGTAGATCTTAACGTGCCAGGTGTGTCCACGCGTGTCCATGATCCTGGCTGGCTGGGAGGCTTGGGGAGTATCACACACGGCAAAACCCTACCAAGGTACCTCTGCCACCCTCCTTCATGTCCTTCCTCCCTCTTTCACGTGAAAGAAAGAAATTTAAATCGAAAAAGCAGCAGGTCCTAAAATGAACGTTTCTTATTCTTACCAAATATATACTAGATTTTAAAGGACAGTTTATCTATTTTTTTGCTATCCCACTAGCCAAGAGTGACTAAAAATGTTCCATAGTAAAAGTATAAAACACTGTATTATTTTTAAATATCTTTTGGAAGTAGTTCAGTATTGAGATTTCGCTTTCTGTCAAGTACACCAGAACTCTAAAAGCATCTGCCACTATTCTTGGGGGAAGCATCACAAGAGAGAGGCATTATTTAATGGTGTTAACCTCGAAGCCCTTTTCATTGGCAATTTCAAGAAACCAAATAACTGTCATTCGGAGAAAGGACAGAAATGAAGGAAAAGGAAAAAAAAGTGAAGTTTTTAAATGAAATAAATCAACATTATCCCGTTCCTTTTAATGAGTCAGTAAAATAAAAATCCATTTTCTGTGGCAAAGATTTAATTTTCTTCAAAACAGTACAAAGCACCACACAGAAAAATCCCCTTAATATGGAAAGCAAGAATCCCTGGCAGGAGGCTGGAGTGAGGACAAACCGTATTTGGACTGTCTTATGTTTTATTAAAGAATAATAAGAAATCTAATAAAAAATAATAGCTGCTTTAACTCAGATACTATTTTTTAAAATTATTTATTTTTATTTAGTATTATATTTAATTTGCTATAAGTCACATGTGCTCACCAGAGAGAGATGAGAAAGAGAGAAACAGAGAGAGAAGGAGAGGGAACGTGAGAAAGCAAGCTCTCATGTGAGAGTCCAGCACCTAAACCATTGCAGCACCTGCTAGCCCCAGTCAGATACCATTTTAAATGAAGTCACACTGGCCTAACTTTTACCTTAATTTCTTATATAAACTTTCATGGAGATGAGAACTATGTCTACAACTTTACTAACCCCAAAGTTAGATTATTGTTCAGTTTATTAAAATATAAGGTCACATTTCTAAATAAGCTTATTCTATACTGAGTTAGTCATTAAGTAATCTGCCCATATCCACAATATATTTTTCTGTATTTACATTATGAATAAACTCTAGCAATAAGCCATAAACAACAATGAGGATTAAATATA